TATAAAAAAAAAACTTGGAAATTGGTTCATAACATTATATAACTTTTAAAACTTAAACATGAATATATATATAAAGGGTAAAGTGAATATACCTAACAACCTTATATAAGCTTAGGTACCTAACCTTATCAAACTAGGTCATTTGGCATTAAATTTTCATTGCAATCATCCAAGGTTCTTAAACTTTATCCCTAAACTTGATTTACTTCAAAAAAAAATTTGGAAATTCATCATTATATTTATCCTACATCATTTCATTTGTAGCGGTAGGATATGAAGCCTATCAGGCGGTATTCAATAGAAAGACGTGATGTAAAAGAAAAATATTTGTGAAAGTCCAAAGATTTTGGAAGTAATAAAGTTATGGGGTTGAAGTTTAAGAACCTTAGGCAATTACAATATAATATGATACAAACCAATGTAGTATTATGGAGTTAGGTACCTAAGCTTATATAAGGTTGTTAGGTATATTCACTTTACCCATATATAAAACTTATATATAATATAACTTGTAAAATATAAACAAAACCTCATAATGTCATATACGAAGGTAAATTCAAAAAAATTGTAGGTGTCTTTGTAATATTGGTATTTTTTTTGTCGAGAGTGCCATTGGATTGTGTACTTGTTGTGAAATTTTCATGTTGTTCGTAGGTGTCTGTAATGAAATCCTATTCAACATCAATGTCAGTATATGAAGTCATTGTCGTCAACATTCTATATATTTCGTCTTCTAATTTCTCAGCTTTTAAGTGGGGTACACCTTCTTCTGGATCCATGTTGTTTTATCACTCCTATAAGTCCCTAAATCACTTTGATTATCAATCAGATCCACTTGATGGTGTGGAATCCCAATCAAGTGGATGATGCAAGATGTAATGGAGAAGAAGAAGAACAACAACAAGATGAATCTTCAATGCACACGATGAATTGAATGATGATCCGGTACACAAGATTCACACACACACACATTCTCTCTAGTTTCTCTCTCTAGAACACATTGATATGACAATGGAAGCCCCTTGAACGTTTTCTCCCCTCTTTAGGCACTAGTGTCTGACTTACACTCCCTTAATAACTTTATTTATATTTATGGACCTAAAATACATAGCCCAAACCAAAAACCCAATAGCTTGACTGAAATCACATGTGATTTTGATCCAAACAACAAATAAACTCATGAGGATTTCGGCCCAAGACTAAAAACTATAAATGCCTAGAAAAGCAAAGTATAAACAAATAAATTTAGACCCAACAATCTCCCCTTTGGTTTATAGCTTTCTTTTCTTAAGACCTAACAAACTCCCCTTGGGTTTGTAACTTGCTTTTCATTTCAATCTTCACTTCGTGCTTGGCTTCAACGTTCATCTTCGATTTCTTCACAACTTCAAGATGAACAGATGAGTCTTCAATATGAATGACTTCATCTTGAACATTTGGGCTTTTCTTCAAAAATTTGACTTTGAACGCACGTTGGGTGAGGAGGCTTCTTGTAAGGATTCTTGAGAATCAGCACTTACAGCTTTGAGAATATTCAGAGAGAACAACAGAGAGATCAATTCTTCTGGATCACATCAGCATGTTCATAGATAGCAACAAATTGATTAAGGGGCTTCAATGTAATTCGTCAGATACTCTTCAAAAACAGTTTCACCTTGCTTCTAGGGTTGAAAGATTGAATGTTGAAATATAATCTTCACTTCTTGTTACTTCAAATGAGATTTCTTTAATGATCATCGTTGCGTCTTGAAAAGTAACCATTTACTAGAAAGTCCCTGTGGATCACAGAGTTATGAAAAACCCTTCTCACCACAGTTGTTCAAGGATGTAATATTGGCTCAGAAAGTTCTAATACAGTCTCCTTGAGTCTCTTCTTCCTTTGAGTTCCCTGATTTTTTAATTCGCTTTTCAAAACAAAACTAAAATAAAAACTTAGCACACAATAGAAATCACTAAGAAGTAAAAACCAAAAATAAAATACACTCAAAAGTAAAACAAAAATATTTTTGGATTTTTGATTTTTCTAAAAAAGAAATAAAAACAAAAATAAACATATTTTTGGATTTTTTTTATTTTTCTGATTTTTTGTTTGTTTTTTTTTTAATTTTTAATTCTCCTCCTAAATTTGTGCATAGATGAAAACTATCAACAAATTTAACAAAAAAACAAACACTTTTAGGATCAAATTTGTCAAGCAATTCAATATCGTTTATCAGCACACACCTGCATGAATAGATATGGTCAATCACCGGTATTGTGATCCACTTAAACACAAAAGATATTGACAAATTGGATAGATTATAAGTGACAAGACATTGTACCTATATTCCTAAATGGATCATTTAGCTGACGACGACCAAGGATATTAGTGTCCACTTAAATTCAGCAGTGAGATCTACAGACAACCTTTTAAATGGTTCAATTTTAGATGTACTAGAACATGTTCCCCACTTCCCGATATACCTTGGTAATCAAGAACTTCCAAAGAATTCCTTACTTTAGGTGAGTATTCAATCATTAAGAGCGAAGATAGATATAGAAATGCATATGTTGTATCCCAGGTCGGATGTATTCCAATCACGCAGAGGGAGATGAGTTGTGAATCGATTGTGCTAATTGTGAATCAATTGTGCTAACTATCTAACCAAGATTTGTCCCTTTCTTTGATACAGCATGTCGGTTGTGCTAAATTGGAATTGTATGCTTCCAATGGTGATAATTCCAAATAAATAAATCAAAAAACAAAGGAGGAGAACAATGCACTCTAGGTGCTCGATGAAAACCTAAAAGAAAAGCAAAGGAATCCGGAATGCATTCATCGTTCAACTAAGAAAACATCAAAGTCAATAGCTCACGAGTTGGAGAAATCACTAAAGAAGACTCACAAAGGTGGGGGAGAAGAGATAATATCAGTATGTGCGTGCATTTTTTAGAGAGAGAGAGGGAAAGAGAGAGAAGGGTAGAGATTTTATATATTAAATAATTATATTTAATTTTTTTCTTTTAAAAAAAAATAAGAGAAAACATCATAAATTATCCATGTTGTAGTGAAATGACGAAAATGTCCTTTAGTAACGGATAAAAGTTAACGGAGTTTGTAATAAGGACCAATCGTCAAAAGTTTTGAAAACATAGGGACCATCTATGAGGTTTTTAAACCACGGAGACTAAACTTCAGATTTTGGAAAACCATAGGGACCATTTATGATGTTTTTTCTTTTATTTTATGAAAAACTTTTGTGGTAAAAGGCTTTTGGATTCCAGCTAATATATATCAATATTAAATGGTAACGCAACTTTATATATATATATATATATATATATATATATATATATATATATATATATATATATATATATATATATATATATATATATAGGTTTAGGTTCATTTGAAACCATTCTAATTTTGTGAGACCGTGAGACCAAATTTAAAAATAATTTTAAAATGCAAAATAAATGGAAAAATCCAAAAATTCTTGTTTTAAATATTATTTTCGGAACTTGAATTAACTAAAAAAATATAAAAAAAAATATAAAAAAAAATATAAAAAAAATAAAAAAAATTCCGTTTTTTTTTTTTTTTTTTGAAAAATACGTGAAATATTCTAAATAGAATATTAAACTGACATATTCTAAAAAATAATTTTAAAATGCAAAATAAATAGAAAAATCTAAAAATTCTTTTTTTAAATATTATTTTCGGAACTTGCATTAACTAAAAAAATAAAAAATAAATAAAAAAAAATTCTATTTTTTTTTTAAAATACGTGAAATATTTTAAATAGAATATTACACTGTACATATTCTAAAAATAATTTTAAAATGTAAAATAAATGGAAAAATCAAAAAATTCTTTATTTAAATATTATTTTCGGAACATGAATTAACTAAAAAAAATAAAAATAAAATAAAAGAAAAAATAAAAAAAAATAAAAAAATGCGTCTCATGGTCTCACAAAATATAGATGGTCTCAAATGAACCTAACCTTATATATATATATATATATATATATATATATATATATATATATATATATATATATATATATATATATATAAAGTTTAAAGAATAATTCAAATTAATATATTGATTTTATGTTAATAACTACAAACCTAAAGTGTATTAGTTGAAACTTATATCGGAATTTTATAAGTTTAAAGGGTGTAACTGAAAAAGATTGTCATGGTTAAACAATTCATAGATGGTTTTTAAATAATATAAAGTTGGAAAATATTAATAATACAATGCGTGTGAATATAATAAATAATATGCAAAAGTAACAATTGTTAATAAAACGGTAAATCTTTTTTTTATTCGTCAAATTAAAATTGAATTCTTATATGAATACTATAAACTAAAGGGTCGAAGTGTAAATACAATACAATTCTATTTGGTAAAATGATTCTAATGGTTTGCTATAGCAACAATGTCCCATCAAATTAATTAAAATAAAAACCATTTTAACTTTTTAAGATGGTATTTAATCGGGTGCATATAGAATTCCCCTAAAGAAAGCAATCGGCAATCAATCAGCTCATCCAGACTTACCAGCACACTTATCCGAAGACTTGAGGGTGAATTGGTAACCAGAAAAAGTCATTAAGTTCCCGAATTTTACGCCACTTGAGAAGATTTCAGGACTTTACAAGGCACTTTTCCAGACTTCGACCTTGAGGACAAGGTGAAATGCAAAAGAAAAGAGGGGACCACTGCCAATCACATAAACACTACAGGATTGGTAGAGGAGCAGGGGCAAAATGGGAATTGAGAACAAAATGATGTCTTCCATGTTTTTTATTTAAGATGGTGGAATTGACACGAGGGGGAACAGAGGATATTAGAAGCTTCTTTCTGTGCTATTGCTTTTGTGGGCTGTTGTTAGCTCGTAGTCTTGTTATTGTTCCAATCATTCCAAAGAAAACAGCAGTATAAGAGTGTTCTATGAGAAATTTCTACTTACTGTTTGCTAGTTAATTCATTACAGAAAGATATATATACTTTGTCAAAATTGACATCAGTTGGCTTTCGGTCCAAAAGCATGAACCAAAAGTGAAGTTAGACAACCAAACGAGCAAATAACCCTAAAAAAAAAAAAAACAAGACTTGTAAACTTAACAATCATAGTGAAAGACAATTATGCCCTTCGGGTACTACCCTAGGCATAGGACTAGCTGCCACATATCTTTGAGGATATAGCTTTGGGATGCCGGAACCACCACCTCCGGTGGTGGTGGTTGTGTCAGCTGGTGCCGCCGCCATATGTGCCCGGCTATGAAACTTGGCAAATCGGTTGATGACTGAAAACCTCTCTAAATCTTGGGATTCCATTCTTATTTCAAGAACTGATCCTCCATTCTCCAACCTTCATTTCCATATTATAAACAAATGAAAACAGAATTACAACATGAAATTGATGTAATTTATAACCAATTTTGACACCTTTTCAGTTGTATTTTATTTATGGATAAAAGGTCAAATGGTAAAAAAGAACTAAAAGCGGGTTGATTTGATAAAAAGTCATATTACCTAATAAAGGAAAACGTCAAGTGGGAAAAACCTAAAATATTTATCTAAAACAGAAAAAGGTCAAATGGGAGAATCAGAAACTGAAAGTGGGTTGATTTGAGTTATATATCTTTTACTAAAAAAGAATTTAGGTACCAGAAAAAGGAAAGGGTCAAATGGGAAAAACTAAAAGTAAAAATCAAATGTAACAACTGTTTAAATTCTTTTATTTAATAAATTACAGAAAACAATGTATTTTGGGCTGTTTTGCAGTTTAACTAACTACTTGTACTTTATTTTTTCCAATCAAACAAAAATAAAGTTTTTAGATATTTTTCCAATTCAACCAGTTAGACAAGGTAAAAATGGCTAAATTGGAAGTTTACTGAAGGGTATTATTTTAATGTAAAAATGACTTCAAAGTGCTTAGTAAAAAAAAAAAAAAGGTGGATTGAGTTTATAGTACCTCAAAAGCACATCTTCTATCTTTTTTGATCGATCAATGAAATCTTCCACAACCTTTGAAAGATTCTGATCACCACTACCCTTGGATACAACCTTTTTCCCTGCTGACCTGGATTTGCCACGTCAGCCAAAAAAAACAACTTTTCAAGATTTCACATTCATAACAAATTTTAAATTAAATTGATTCTTACGTGTCAGAAATATGATGAGGATGATTTGCCAAAGTACATGCATCGCCAAGTGCTAATCTAGCAGCAAAGTATGTCACCATTTCATAGCATTCCAAAGCATCATCCAAAAGAAGTTTAAATGGTGTCGGCCTAAATAAAACTTGCATAAGTTGTGTTGTTAAAATAATTCTTCTCTTTAATGTTTCACTTTCACCCCCTTGACCTTCTTTCATCTGTTAACATAATATAATAAAAACAACCATTTAGAAACTAGAACCAAATACACCAAAAATAAAAGTCAACTCTGGTCAACCACAAAAACACACCTGTTCAGGTACCCGATTTCCAGCCTCTCCCCATTCCACTTCCGTAATGCTGCAAGGGCAAAATTGTCAAGAAAAAAAAAATCTTTGAAGTGTTTTGTAGTTTGCCAATATATATTAAACATATACCTTGTATCATGGATTCTTCTAGAACCTTGTGTTGCTTCTTTATGCCAAGGGAGAAGCTCATAAGTAGGAAATTTACGTTTTTTTGATTTAGAAATAATTGAATCTTGATTAACACCAACTGAATTGGTTCCATATTGACTTGTGTTTGCTAAATTCATCTGGACAAATGAACTATTTTTATGAAGCTGAGAAGGGTCTTGAAGAGGAGGGTAAAATGGGGATTTCACTAGATGATCTTCTTTTGTAGCGGATGACGTGAGTACGCTTTTGTAGTTTTCATATGCAGATGTGAGTGCTGACATGGATGTTACTTGAGGAAATTTAGGGTGGTCAGAATCTTGTCTTTCCTTTTTTACCCCTGGCCCAGAGTACGTGGGGTTTAAAGGAGAGTACCCATGAGGGGAAATATGTGATTGTTTCAGAGAACCGGATCCGTTTGCTTCTAAACGCCCTGAAAAAGATTCTTCCCCGGGGTGGAATTTACCTTCTTGCCCTTGCCCATAATCAAAAGTTTGTGAATTTTGACCTTCAGAAGCAGTTTCCATTCTGCTACAAGGTATATCTATCCAGACATTAGGTTGACTTTTTGGATTAGAATTAGAACCCTGTTGACCATCTTGGTTCTTTAAATGTGAGTTCACCTGCAAGAAAAAAGGTATCTATTAACTTTGACTCTTTGACTTTTTTTTTTAAATGTATTGAATTGATGTTTGAATTACTACTATACCACTTGAGATGAGTTGAAATAATTTGCAGGGTGTCTTTGAGTTGGAGGAGACAACCTCAATCCAAATGATTGTTGGACTGAAGAATTGTTTGATGGAGTGAATGCATCTGTAGTTTCAGCTTTAGGAATCTTTCTCTGAGTCGACTCAGTATAAGAAGACTGTTGTTGACCATGTTTATATTCTTTGAATTTGTCTACCTTGTGAAGAAGCTCAAGCATATGTCGACTATCATCATAATAAATAAATATATCAAAAAATGTTTGTCAAACATTTGTAAGTTTCATGAATCATGATATGAAGTAGTAATTAATAAATAGTAAATACCTTGTTTGAGCATTTGAATCTTGAACAGGAAATCCGGATGATTTGTCAACAATGGAAGACATTCCAGAAGAATCACCACCTTCTTTTTGAGATTGCTGATTTGATCCATGAGAAGAATCTGAACGAAATTGGAAATTTGTAGAAGGAAACTGCTGAAAACCAGGGAAGTTTGAGTTTGAGTTTTGATTAGATGTTTTGTTTTGAAACCATGAAGTTGGATGTTTCCCACTTTCCATAATGTTTGAAGGCTGATTATTATTATTATTATTATTATTATTATTATTGTTATCATTGGAATGTTCTGGATTCTGAAAGCTTAAGCCACTCCATTCCTCTTGTACACCTGTATCAGTACTTGAAGTTTCATCAAGGGCAGATTGCATAAGAGCACTCCAACTCCCACTTTGTAAAGAAGGAAAAGCTTGTGAGTTATCAGTGTCTTCAAACATGTTCCCAAAATTGTTATCATCTGTATTGAATAAGAACTTCTGTTCTAATGGATCCAAACTAGTGAAATCTTGAGGGTTAAGGTTAACATCTGTTGTTTTATCCACAATGTTTCCACCAAAATCACCTTGTTCTTGATAAGCAGCATTGAATTGATCACTCATGGAAGAAGATCTAGTAACAGTGTCCATTTGTTGTTCACCAATGGGTGGTTGTTCACGTGTTGTTCCTTGAAAATTAGAAAAACGACTAAAACCATGTCCTGATTGTGAATAAGGTAATCCATTTTGAAACCCTTGGACCAAATTTGTGTTGCCAAACATGAACATTTGAGAAGGATCACGAACTGGGGTTCCATTGATTAATGGTGCATATTGAGCTCCAGAAGCTTGCTTATTGAGTAGTAAAGATTGTTGATTTATGACATTTTGTTGTCTGGAGTCGTTTAACTCTTGGAGTTTCTTTTGCCTTTGGAGTTCCTCAAGCTGCTTGAACATAATTTGCCTCTGCAACATCTGAATCTCATTAAAATACAATACTTTTGCTTAGAATAGTGTTTATAAACCTTCCAAAACTATTTTCAGCTGGCTATCAGCTCAATTGTCTATGGCTCTAAGCTCTTGCCAATGATACATCGTGGATTATGAACATATGGATAGCTTTCCAACTTTAGATTAACAGAAACCTGCAAATTACAAATCATTGGTTAAGAAAACAAGTGTAATTGGAAAGATAAGTCAAAAAAACGAGATTTAGCATCATTAATGATGCGTTGATTATGCTGCATCAAACTTGAAAGACAAAGTATTAAATCAATTTCAAACCACAGCCAATTTCATTCAGATTTTTTTATTAAATTCATTTCAAAATGGTAGGTGAAGAACCAGACTGCTTCAAAGCTTGACATTCAGTGACCATCAGTTAACCTATGTACTTCAGGGAGGGAAATCATAAAGGAAGAAGGAATATTCAACGAAACCAAAGTACAACATAAGCACATACTTAAACCCTAATAACAACACAATCCTAGTAAACATATAGAACTGAAATTACCGATTGTAAACGAACTCTAAAGCCTAAATCAACAACTCAGAGGGAAAAAAACACGGACTCAAACCCTAAAAACACTACTGCATGAAACAACTTCAAATTTCCCCAACAATGCAAAAACAATAATTGCGAATTTCAATGATTTTCGGCGAATCAAAAGCTGTATTACCGTTACAACACAAACAAGGTAGAGAATCAGCTAATTTGAGACTAAAATCGACGATTTCGAGACTGTGATCCAAGTGAAAGCAAATTTGGGGGTTGTTGAGAAGTGTACAGAAGAACAGAAACTCTTACTTCCAGCAGCTGGTTAATGGAGATCAAGAGTTCCAATTATTCTTCAATCCAAAACAGTCGTAGCTGAATGCACCTTCTTCCTCTCTCTCACTCTCTCTACTTTCTCTCTCTATACATACATATATATGTATGTATACCCCCTCTCACTTTTTTCTTACTAACTACAACACTCTTTCTCTCTCTAAAACCGATGAGCGAGAAAGATGGTCTCTTTTTCTTTCTTTCAGACAATATTAGTATATTTTATCAGGTTAGGTTCGGTTCCGAACCTGTAGGTTTATTGCCGAGCCTCAGGTTTGGTTCACAATTTGTAAAAATCGAAGCTGAGGTTGATGCATGAGAATTGTCGGTGTGTTTGGCGCTTCAATCCTGTACGATCTTACTGGCATCTGATCCGTTGGATTATAAAACTGGTAACATCGAATGGCTGGTATTGAATAAGCTGTGGACCTGAGTTGTAGCTGATTAGATCTTGAATGAGGACAATTAGTGTGGTACAGATGAGCTGTTACGCGATCTTTTGCGCGCGTGTGAGGTTGGGGAATCTTTTTCTTTTTCCTTGAAGCTCTTTTTAATACAATTCTATATAATATATGTATTTTACATTCAATATATAGAATTGATTTTATTTTCAAAATAACATTAAAGAGTTTTCATAGATATTTAAGTTACACAAATGTTTAAGGTGAGTTTAAATTTCATTAAGACAACTTAAGTATTTAGTACAGAGTTTCATTTTAGTTTAACATTTTTGACTAAAGTCGGATTACGTTTGAACCTACATACAACTTTTTTGAAAATGTTTATTCAAATAACAAAATCATGATTTGAAATGATGAAACTTAATTAAATTGTAAAATAATAATTTTGGATCAAACCCTAAACAATTTGGATGAAAAATCTGGATCGAACCTCGATCAATAAACACTTTCAATTCATAAGTTTCACAAAACATTTGGTTTTGATTTGATAGTTCTCGAAACAGAAAATAATTCCCTTTTTATTTTTCTTATACATTTATTCTTTTAATTTTTGTATTTTTTTGAAAAACAAATATGAGTTTTTTGTATCCGGCTCAACTTATTTCGAGGTCTAATCATATCTTAAGCTAAAACCAAATTGATTTAATTCAATTTTGTTTGTGGTTATAATATTATTTATTTTTATAGTTTCAGTTCAGTACAATCACTAAAATATTTAGTATAAATATATATCTGGGGAGTGTTTATCTTTTGTCAAACTAAGCAAGGATTTAGGGTCTTCAAGTCTAAAAGACCCCTAATTTTAAAGTTTATTTACTAATTGTTGTCCCTAAAACCAAGAATCGATCATTCAATTTGTTATGCATGTCGCATGTCTGACCTAACTTTACATTCAAAGCGACGATTCAATTTCCACAAAAACGCATCTATCCTGGTGTTCTTCTTCCTTCTCGTCAACTTCCCATCTTGTCCTCCAATCTATATTCTAGTCTGAAACGCAGAACGCAACCAACGGCAGCAGCCAACGATGATTTGATTCGGTGATTCTTGATCAATCGATTTCAAATTACGGGCAGCATTGTAAGACCTCAATTGACGAACTAAAAGTTTGAAACAGTATATGTTTCCAATTTCCATTATCTAATATTTTGATTATCTTCTAGGTCTAATTTTATGTTTTCCCTTTTTTCATTATTATTTATCACATCATCCACGACTGTGGATTTGTGGTGGATTAAAAGTAGTTTTCATGTTTTCCATTATCTTTTATTCTCAAGTAGCAAGTATTTCTAATCCGTGCTCCACTAATTTACTTCCAATTTATTGTTTGTTCGTTTGTAATTATCTTTGTGATTGTTGTTATGAACTAAATAATCAATAATCATGTTGAAGAACAAAGGCCAAAACGTCTCAAATTTTTTATGCGTTTAGAATCACCAAACTCGTTAAATTGCCCCAGAATATATCATTATATCTTAATTCAAAAAATTATCAAAATCCATATAAATTTAATTGTTTTATGATTTCAATTAAAAAGAAATATGATTTTATGATAGAAAGTGAAAGATTCAATGCATCATAAATATAATTTCATAATGTTCGGATTATACATAACACTCATCATGACATTTGATTAGACCTACGTTTAATAAAAATGTTTGATTATCAACAATATATAAATAATCTTTAAACCAACAAAATAAATAAATAAGCAAAGAACCAAAAACAACATTTCAAAAAAGACATATATGACATTGTAAAATTTGAACAAAGGTTAGAAAAACAAATATTCAAACTATTATTATTATAGAACCGATTGTTCAGGTCGGTTTTGGTTCTATAAAAGTAGTTTTATGTTTGGTTATAAAAAAAAATTCTAAAAACGATAATTTGTTCAATTTTGATCGATTTAAATTAAAATTGAACTAGAATTTTATTTTTAGAACATTAATATATATATATATATATATATATATATATATATATATATATATATATATATATATATATATATATATATATATATATAGAAATTAAATAAACTCAAGAATGTAATTCATGATTTGGATTTGTAACTAGATGCAATTTTATCCTGTCTCAAACAAATAGACAATGTTTAATATTGTGTGATAATTACTAATAGATAAAATACAAAGGTAATTTGTGAAGGCTATATTGCAATACAATATTTAACATTCAAAACATGTTTAAAGAATTATTATATATTTATTTCGAAACACACCCAGCAAAAGTACATGTATGTTATGGAACATGCCTTTTGTGTTTTATGTCAACTCTTTATTTTAATAAAAGAAGACTGTTGACTTATCCTTTAAACAACAGAACTTAAAAAAGTGTTATATTCGGATATAGTGAAATTCATAAAGTGATAATAAATTCAGAGGTAAAAGTTATAAATTTTATTATTTGATAATAAATATTTTTTAACTAACTCTGCTAAGTAAACGTCGATTGGGATTTTTATTTCTTCTCTGTTTTCCTTTATTTAAAAGATATATATTTAACTAATGATTAAACATTATTTATAAGATGAAATATTATATTTATTTGAAATGATAAAATATATATTAAGCATGGATGTTGTTTAACCAATTATTAGTTATCTAATCACTTATTCACTTCCCATGATCTTGGACCTAACTTTTGTTTGTGGATTTAAGATCAACTACTGTTGCTGATTATTATATTTTTAAACAATTTTATTATTAGCTACATATTACGCAATGTAAATTATAGAATAAAAATCTAATCAAATTAATGATGGGCTAATCAGAAAGATGCCAAAAATGGTATTGTATATCATACAACGACCTTATTTTTTTTCACTTTATCACAAATAAAGAGATCTAGCAAAATAGTTAAATATAATGATTGTACTTTTGCTGATAGAAAGTGCTCATGATATCTTTGCTTCAGATTTTCTACTGTAAGAACATTTATAACAAATACATAAAATTAGTATTTTTTTCAAGTTTTGAGGGTCGCAAAATTCAAAAAATTCACGAATAAGAAACTTTATCCCTATAATTTTGAACACTCCAGATAATTAGATTCGTTACAATGTTTTAAATTTTGTTTTGTCATTTGTTCATTCAACTAGAATGAGAGTTTCAGTTCAAAATCGTGACATTTTTGTACATCATCGTATATTTGGCAAAATCTTCACATTCTGTTAATGAAGTTTTATGTCTTTTGTAATTTTTGTGTTTTTATCATGGTGGTATTGTTGAGTATGATAGTAAAATTTATCGACTACAACTTCTAACACCTAAATTATGCTGACAACAATTTGTTGATATAATTTATCAAATCGTAAGGGTTTAAAAAAATCAAGTTGAGTTCACCACATATTATAACTGCAGATAGATAATTCCTCTCTTATTGTGATAATTCCTCTCTTATTGTGGTAATTGGATTCATGTTGAAATGATCGAAGGATAGAAGATTTAGTGTTCGACATTTATGTTTAAGGGCGTGTTTGGCACGGAGCTTTTGGGAGTTTTTGAGAGCTTCTAGCTTCTAACGTTTGACAAAACGCTCCGTATTGAACAGAAAGTCTTGTTTGACAATACAAGTTTCTAGCGTTTAGTTTAAACAAAACGCTTCAAATTCAAATGCTACTTCATGTAGCGTTTAACAAAACGCTACAAGCTACCTGCTACCTG